CCGCGCTCAGCGGCCCGGTCAGCCCCAGGAGCGGCCGGGGGGGCGGGGGAGGGGAGACGCACCTTCATTCCCTGGTAGCCGACAGGTCCCAGGTCCCCGGGCCGGCCCTGGAGCACAGAGGGGCTTCGTTAGGCACCCTGGGCCGGCGGCCCACCCACCGCCTGGCCTCCCACGGCCCGCTGGCCGGACCCGGCCTCCTGCTGGCAGCATCCGGGGCACAGCCCTGCTGTGAGGCCCCAGCTCAAGATCCCCCGGGAGCTGAGGGTGGGGGGTGGGGACACCGGCTGTGGCTGGGGTACAGGTCTTGGGACTTTGCTGGCCAAGCCCCCGCCGGCCCCCGAGAGCAGGCCAGGCCGTGGAGGCCTGAGGGGCCGGGGGGCCTCCTGGTGTGGCGTGGGGGAGACAGGGCTGTGCCGGGCACCCACTGGCCTTGCCCCCATGGGGGCCGTGACCTGTGACCCTGGTGCTCAGAAACCAGCCGTCCTTCTGGAAGCTTCCACAGCCAGGTCCCCCACCCGCAGAGTCAGCGGCTCAGCACTCACGGGGTCTCCGGCTTCCCCTTTCTCTCCTGGGAGGCCCGGCTTGCCTCGCTCCCCCTGGGACACAGAGCAGGTCAAGGTCAGGGGAGCCCGTCCCGCGCGTTTCCGAGAGCTGGTGGAGGGACCCCGCCTGCCCTTGTGGTGTTCGGGTGCCTTCCCCGGCACCCATGGTCCATCTTGGGGTCTGCGAGGTCAGGTCTACGTGTCCCCCCGCACACCCTGCCGCCCGCCACCCCTTCCGGCCGCTGTGCTGGGCTCCTGGCAGTGGCACCAGCACGCAGACCCCCGAGCAAGGCCGCTTGCTTGTGGGCGGGAGGCTCCTGGGGGCTGCGGCTGACATCTCAGGAGCAGCCGGGAATCTGGGCCCCGAGCGCATACGCCCCGCCGTCCGCGGAAGGCCCAGCTCCGGGAGCCAAGCGCTCAGGGGACACCTCAGGAAGGGCCCCTCCTCCACCACAGGGAGCGGGCCACCCCACGCCAGCCCTCGGCCACCCCACGCCAGCCCTCGGCCCCCCCTCGGCCACCCCACGCCAGCCCTTGGCCCCCCCACGCCAGCCCTCGGCCCCCCCAGCGGCCTCGGTCTCTGCGCCCGGGCTCTCTCTCCACGGCTGGGCCACCTGGTCATCAGGGGCACCCTCGCCGTCCCCACACCCAGCCAGTGGCAGAAGCGTGGCGGGTGCTCAAGATGGCTGCTTGGGGCCCCCTGTGTCCGTAACGCCTGGGGTGCCAGGCTGTAGGGACACCCCTCCCACGCTCACGCGACACCTCTCTCCCTCTTGGGCGTAGGCGGGGTGGGGTACGGCCGCTCACCTCGTACCCGGGGTCGCCCCGCGGTCCAGGTGGTCCTCTGGCGGGCTGCGGAGCAGATAGGACAGTCAGCCCGGGCCAGCACCCCGGGAGGCCGGGGGGGCGGGGGGCCCACACTCACCTGGCACTCGTAGGAACAGCACTGCCAGGGGAGGAACAGAGTGACACGTCAGGACGCCGAGGCTCGGCCACCGCGCCCGGCCGCGTGCTCCGGGGGCTTGGCCCAGGCGCCCGGCGGGGACACCGGCTGGCGGAGACGCCCTGGGAGGTGGGGGTGGGGAGGGGGTCTCTTACCACTTGCTCCACGTTATTTTTCTGAAAACGAAGCGAGAAAGCCCAGTCACTTCACGCCCGCGGCCGCGGTGCGCGGCGCCCGGAGGGGCGGGCGTGGGCGCGGCACTCACGATCATGTCCGTGATGGTGTCGATGGTCTGGCTGATGGCCTCCTCGGCATCACGGCTCTGCCCCCAGTCGGCCGCCGTGAAGTTGCGCCGGTACGTGTGGTCCGTGGCGATGATGCTCAGCCGCGGCTCCTGCGGTGGATGCGGGGGACGAGGGTGACACCGGGGACGCCGGGGAGCCGGGCCCCTCTGCCCCTCCCCGCGCGGTCTGGCCAGCTGCAGGCCCGGGCAGGGCTCCCACCAGGTGGTCGGGCGTGATGGCCACTGAGAAGACTTTGACGCCCAGGTGCTTGGCCTCGTTCACGGCGTCCTCCAGGCCCCCGCACGGCTCCTTGTAGCCCTCCAGGGGGTGCCCGTCCGTCACCACGATCAGGTACTTGTTCTCCTTCAGGTGGGACCCCCTGCAAGGCGGCGGGCACAGTGAGACCCGGCCGGGCTCCCCAGGTCATCTCTGAGCCTGTGGGGCCCCGGAGCTGAGACCTGGAGATGGGAGGTGACGGGCAGGTGACAGGCAGGGGCCAGGCGCCCGGAGGGAGGCCGGGACCCCGTCACCCCAGCTGTAAAGGGGGGCCGTGCAAAGGCCATGGAACACAAGAGCTTTGGGGGTCGCGTGTCAGCCTTGGGAGATGCACGGGTCCTCGCCCTGCCTGAGGCATCCGACATGGGGCCCAGACCCCAGACCGTGGGAGGGGACAGCTGAGCACCTGCTCCCTGCGGTGGGGACATGGGGGCTGCCACCCGGCCGAGCCGAGCCACAGCCGGGAGCCAACGCTCTCCGGTTAGTGGCGGCGGCTGCTGGCGGCCACCACTGCCACCACCACCTCATGTGCGCGGCCAGCCCTGGGGACGTCGGTGCTGTCGCACGGTCCCTTCCCTCTGTCACCCTCTCTGTCCCTGTCTTCTGTGTGTCCGTGTGTCCCCCTCTGTCCGTCTCTGGCTGCAGACGTCACCCCTGCTCGGCCCGGGGGAGGCAGTGACCAGGGCCTTCCAGGTCCCTCCTGCTTTCACGGCTGGAGGAGATGATGGACAGCCCCAGGGCGGACGGCGGGACGCAGCGTGACCCTGGGCAGCGGGAAAGGCAGGCTGGGCGGCGGTCACTACGACTGGTTCTGGGGGCTCTTGGGCACCAGAGCTGGGTTTGACAGTGGGCAGCCCCAGGGCTCTGGCGAGTTTGCGTGACCGTGCTTGGGTCAGGAAGGTGGCGCACCATCTGGGGACCCTGGGTCCTGTGGCTCGCCAGAGGCCAGGAGCTGGCCAGAGGAGGGAGCCCCAGGCCGAGGGGTGGGGGAGGGGTGCTCACCCCACCAGCAGCTCCTCCAGCCCCTTCTTGATGGCGCAGTCCGTGTAGGTCCCCTTGCCGAAGTACTTGACCGCGTCCACGCTGGCCTTGAGCTCGTCGCGGCCGGCGGGCATGCGCGTGAGCCCGCGGATGATCTCCACCTCGTCGCTGTAGTGCAGCGCGCCCGCGTTCCACACCAGGTTGCGGTCGCAGCGGTAGTACCTGCGGGCGCGGCGGGTGAGCCAGCGCCGTCG